CCTTCCTGGAGCATTGGAAGGTTGAGGAAGATCCTGCTTCAGCTGGGACCTTTGTAGGTCCCTGGCCAGTCACATGGTGCCATGGGCTATCCCTCTCTACCTAGCTGATCTGCCAGGGGGTAGAGTGCCAGAGGGCAGCGCTGGGTTGGAACATGTAAATGGAGCATAGTGGTGGAGAGCATAGGCTTTGGTGTTAACAGCAGAGCTGGGTGTAATCCTCTTTCTGCCCTTACTGATTGTATGATCTTGGGTGAATTACACCACTGAGTGTGTTTATTCACCTGTAAAAAGGGGCAATAATGATAGAGAATATGGTCGTTATGAGGATTAAATGTGTGTCTGTGTATTCAGAGATCTTTGCCCATTTCTGGCGCATAGGGAGTGCTTGATCACTCAGGCTGGTTTCATGGGCAGGCGGCCTGTACAGCTGCACAGTGAACTGTCCTCAGAAAGGCCCTGCACTTGGGCTAATGTGTTTTGTCACGGTCTTAAAATTCTTAATAATGTTTGAACAAAGGCCCTGCAAATTATGTAGTGATAGGCCTCTCAAGATGGTGGCGTGAGTAGGGTGGGGGAAATCTCCTCCCAAAACCATATATATTTTCAGAATATAGTAAATACAACTATTCCTAAAAGAGAGACCAGAAGATACAGTACAACAGCCAGGCTACATCTACATCTGCGAGAACCCAGCATCTCACAAAAAGGGTAAGATACAAAGCCACGACCCGGTGGGACCTGAGCACTCCCTCCACCCCAGCTCACCAGCCAGAGGAAAAGAATCTGAGCGGGGAGGGAGTGGAAGCCCTGGACTGCTAAATAGCAAGCCTAGTAATCCACACCAGGAGCACAGACACACATTGCACGGTGTACTGCATATTAGAGAAACGGAAAAGTAAAATCCGAGACTGAGGCCACGAGAGGGTCCGCACAGCCGGCTCCCCTGGGACAAAAGAAAAGCAGACACTTTAAAAGTCTTAAAGGGACACGGCCTTAAAAGGTGGACAAAATCATCCTGGAACCCTCAGCCCAGAAGGCTGGGGATTTTAAGGAGCTTCAGACACTGTAACCCCCCGGGTGGCAATGCAACTGCAAAGCCCCTCGTGGTGATAAGCAGCTGGCTCTTCATTGACCCCTTTGGCACTGCAAGCAAACCGCTGACCTGCCATTGCTGTGGACAAGCCAGGGAGCAGCCCGGCTCACAGGAAACATACAGAGTCTCCTCCCAGTGTGCAGCTAACCGGGCCAGACCAGAGGCTGCTGTCCATGCGCAGCTGTCCAGCACAGGCAG